TAAGAGACAGCATTGTTGTCTCGATCGGCCAAAATTTCGGCCTCCCTTTCCCCCCCCCCTTTTGGACATCTCTGGATCCGCCCCTGAGAGGTACTATTTTCTCAAATTTTCGCACCTCAGACCCAATCATGGTGGGTCTGAGATGGGTGTGGACTCACGAAATGTCCCCTCACCACCATTCAAAACAGATCTGTGCAGTTCCCTGGGTATGGCATTAAACCCCATCGAGTCGTCACCTGACTCGGAGTATGTCTTAGTGTTTGCTGAAGGGAGGGTGCAGAAATTTGTTTTAAGGATGTGATCTGTTTTTTTACATGCCCATTTTTCGTGATTATGACTATTTTAGTTAAATAATGTTTTGAGCAGTGGCGGATTCAAGCAACATCCCCCCCCCCCACCCATAAATTGTTTTAATGGAAGCAAAATTATATTCAAATTTAAGTGTGAGAGTGTAATTTTCGTCCATCTAGAGGTGCCCTAATATTTTTTTTAACTCAGCCCCAACCATGGTGAGGCTGAGGGGTCCTTTGGCGTTCCCCTGGCCGTAGGGAGGACACCCCATCTCCGCTCATACATACCTCGCATAACGCCCCTCCCCACTCTTTAAAAATCCTGGCTACGTCCCTGCACCCTTCTGCACAATGCCGAGGCCTACGATGTCCTCCTACAGCTTATTTCCCTGCGTTTATTATTAAATACAGGACTAGACGTTTACCTTTATTTATATCATCTTTCCATATCCCTAATTAATGACGTAATCTGTACTGTAATTTGTCAGATAATAATCATTTAACGCAATATCGTGTTGCATCTTTATAGTGTTTGATATGTCCTTCGTAACAGCATGTACTGCAATTCCAATTGTATGTAAATTTTTACAATATAAAAAAGTTTAAAAGGCTTTATAATATTAGCCTTTTCTACAACTTTTCAATGCATTGTTTTTTGCAAACTTGTCTTTAAAATGAAAATAGCCTTTTGTAGTGAGCATTTTACCGATAGGCATGTCATCGTGATGCAGTGAATTAAGCCAAAATATTATAAACAATTTACTAGATATGACTCACACTTAAGTTGCTCAAATCGACTCATTTCGAATTCAAATTGTAATTACAATATCTCTAAGGATTACTAGGTTCTAAATTGGGTTCATTGTCTAGCAAGTCATTAGTTCACGTCGAGTAGTTTTCAATTGGTAATTAATCAAAACCGTTTATACGAAATCAATTTATTAAAAGAGAGAGATATCTGTCGTTTTATCAGATATTTCCGTAGTTCGTCAATTAAAAGCAGCCTATTAAATATGTATATTAATTCCCCAGGCTATTACTAGTCTGCTGGGGTGGGGGTAAATATCTGATTCAGCAGCGTTGGGCAAGAATGGAAAAGGATTGACAAAATTTAATTCATCAATATGACGCATCAATTTTCTAACCACCATCGTAATGACATTATCGGTATGAACGTAACTAGACTCTTAGACACCACCAAATGACGTCATTAGTTAAATCGTACATAGTCTTCTATAGAATATATAATCCTGATCATTTTCTCTCTTGTTTTCTTCTCGATTTACCAGGAAAGTACTATATAAGTGCTGCGATGGTTGGGGTAAAACGCATGGAAGAGATGCCAAATGCGTCAGACGTAAGTATTTTTGGAATTATAAGTAACTTTGCAAACCCTTTTACATCACAACAACATATAAAAATATTTTAAAATAAGAGCCTAACTTCCAGCCGAAACCATTATACTGCATTTACAGCAGTTTTTTTAAACGGTCTAATTAAGCATCATTATTACATGAATCCCTCTTTGGTATGGAATAAAGGCCTACTTTACATCTCACCCTAACCACTCCTAGTCACATTAAAGAAGAATATTATCTTCACAATTAATGATATCGAAAATAATATATTATTATATAACATTCATTTAAATGAAAAATATTACACCACAGTTTGTTGTGGGGATAATATATTTATATTAAAAGAATTTGGATAGTCTTTTAATGAGGTACTTGACTAAAATTTTGAAAGCAATGTGACGACAAAGAATTCTAGAGAGAATTAAAACAAAAACTGCAACAACCCTAAATGTCTCTTGTGAATATGACATTGAGGCAAGAAGAGAATAATTTTGTAATATGCAATTGTGACAGAAAGAGATAATTAATTAAATCTCAATTTTTCTTCATCAGAACACTGTCCTGTTGGCTTCAAACGTGGATATAATGACGGTTGTTATAAATTCGTGACATCATCGACCTCTTGGCATGAAGCTAGGAACGCCTGTCAGATGACGTCAGAACAATCTATAAAGACTAGAGTATCTTCTGATCTTGTTGTCATTGACAGTAAAGAGGAAGAGATTTTCATCACACGGGAAATACATGCTACTGGAATGTCTGCAGCTTGGATAGGTATGAATTTTGTATGTTCACTTGTGCTCTTTTCCAAGTGCCGTGCGGATTTCCGGACCAATATTAAACCGAGTAAAAACGCAAATGTTTGTACATTTCGTAACCATCTCATTCACTCCATCGATTTTATGGGTGCAACGGTTATCAGAGGCTAAATTTATTGTAAAAACAATGTACTGTACGTTGTTAAAATTGGAAGCGTGTGTGCACAATTTCTACTATCAAAGATTTATTCCTTTTTTATATTATTATGACCCGTATATACTAGTGTTTAATATTATCTGCATACATAGATTCCTGTTTTGCCTAATTTCAAAAAAATATAGTTAGTCAATTGAATTATATATAGCCATTATTAAGCAATAATTATACAGCCTTTGACATGGACAGTATTTCGATTTCTTTAAGTAGTGTTACCACAAGTTTACAAACTCCAATATTACGTGAACACAATCTCGCAATGACGTCGTAATAATCAGTGGCAATCAGTCAATTTTTCAAAATTATTTTAGAATTTAGCTCTGAGAGTGCCATTTCCGGCCATCTAGAGGTGTCATATTCATAAATTTTCTGGCTTCAGCCCTAACCATGGTGGGGCGGAGGTGGTCTAGTTTCCCAAACTGTAAAAGTTTAATGCTAAATTGAATAAATCACCTTTATGTTTGTGAAATGAATAGGCCTAGGCTAACTAATGTTTTGTGTGCTTCATATCACCCTAGTCCTATTTGATTGTAAATTAGACGGTAGTATTTCCACTCACAATTGTATAGTCGCAATAGTACTTGCACAAAAGTGAAAATCAAAGAGGAGAAAAGGAAAACACTCTTGATTGATTTTAAAAGTACTGTATATGCAAAGAGACTAAATTGTGACTGTTTTAAGTTTATCTTACTTGTTTTTAATGGTTCGAATACGTCACAAGCTAATCAGTAGATAATAAATCATTATTTTTATGAATGTTAGTTTGCACGAAGTATATAAGCGGGAATGATTATGATTACCCGGATAATTTGAAAAATTTGTTATGATGAGCATTTCAGTGGCAAATTCAAGGGGGGTCAGCAAGTGGAGCAAAAAGAATATTATATTCAAATTTGGTCTGAGAGTGCCATTCCCACCAATTAAAGGTGCCATAATCTTAACTATTCTTACCTCAGCCCCAATCATGGTAGGGCTGGGGTGGTCTACACTCTCCATCTGTAAAATTCCCTCCCTGGGGACCCCTCTTTTTCAAATTCCTGGATCCGCCACTGTATTTTGAAAAAGTAGTGTGGAAATAAATATTAATTGCATTCCTTAAAATAAATTAGATGCGACTTATAAAAGGCTATAGGCGCCAGAGGTTCGGGGGGATTCACCCCTGGTCCCACCTAGGGCAGTAAAAAATAAGGTACGAAAATATTATGGAGTGAAGAATAATAAAGTGTTAAACAACGTTGTATCTGGATTATCACATTCATCAGACCGTCCTTTTGCTCTTTGCTTTTTAGTTGATTGTTTTTTATATTATATTTTGCAGTTATTGCTGTATATTTTAAGTGTATCTATAGTATAAGCCTACATGTCTGTATACATGTTTATGATAACATCAAACTTAAAACGAAGCAACGCTGTTTCTAAACGATAACCTAAATGGACGACCTCTGTGCCCGTAAACATCATGCAATTTATCTGGATGTTTCGGGTAGTTTCCGGGCCATGGATCTTGTAACCGAACTTATTTAGGCTTGAATCCAGTTCTCTGTCAGAGTTTCTCAGTGCATTATAAATTGATACAGAACGCATAAACAATTATGGATTACTTATAAATACTAGTGTACATACCTATAATGCAGTTTTCACCGGGGTATGAATTACATATTAAATTAGAAAGCGGCTTGGCGCAGATGTAACAGATTGGTTTCCAAACCTCTGAACAAACTATTTTAAAATCTAAGAGAATTGTTTTGATCGATTGATTAAAACAATAACAGTAAAGGTGATAACATACATGGGGCTGATTATTTTCCATTAATTTGGGATGGATCAAACGTAGTAAACATACTGAACATATTTATAGTTATGCTATTTTTTAGGTCTAAGAGAAGTTTCGGTCGATGGCCCGTTGATATGGGTGAATGGAAGTCCACTAGACGCCTTGCGACAGAATTTTAAACACGGAGAACCGAACGAGAACACGGACACCAGCGATAGCTGCATCAGCATAGTAAATTCAACGGACGACAACGCTATGAAATGGGAAGATCGACGATGTTCCAATCTCAAAGGATATATATGTGAGGTTAGAAGTAAGTGCCTAATCGGTTTAATCCAAAATTGATCTTCGATTCTGTGAAAAGCTGATAAACTTAATCGTAACTGAATCATTCTCAAACCTAAAAAAAAGTTGCTATCAAAAGTAACACTGGCAGTCGCGGATCCATGCATTTGAAATAGAGGGGACCCAGGGAGGGATATTCACAGAAGGAAGGTCCATACCACGTCAGCCTCACAATGGTTGGGGCTGAAGCTAGAACATTATGATTATGACAATTTACAAGGTCATCTAAACAGATTGTAGTTGGAGTATTTCTCAACAAATGCTCTTAAATCCTAGGAAGTACTTTACAATGAAGTGTGCTTTAGTAGAACTTGCCCTGTTGCCTCTTACCTGCAATGACTCTCTAATTCAATCCGTTTCTGAATTAAAACTCTTAGGTGTTACCCTTTAGTCTAATCTTAAGTGGAATACCCATTTCAACAAAATTTATTGTGGGTAAAGCAAATCGTGCAATATGTGATAGGCCTGTTTACTTAAACAATTTAGTGCTCCTGAAAACCAATTAGTTAACATTTTTTTTATCTTTTAATATGCGTGCCCTGTGTGGCATTTTTCTTTGACCGTTTGTTAAATTTTCGATAGTGAATCTGTCCAGAAAAGATTTTGTCGAATTGTGTTAGGCCAGCGGTGTACTGTACTTCTTATACCGCCGCCTTAAAATGATTCAATCTGCATAGACTCAGTGATCGGAGATACAAGCTGGTCTGTAAAGGCCAACTCAGACAGCGTCGGCCGACGCAGCCCGACCCGATTTATCGTCGGGGACAGTCTTAAGCCGTCGTGAGAATTATTAAACACGTTTAATATTCTACTACGCGACTGCCCCCGACGCACACCATCGCGTCTGCGTTCAACTCACACAGACCCGACGCGACAACAAATCGCGTCGGGCTGCGTCGGCCGACGCTGTCTGAGTTGGCCTTAAGTTTGGAGTGACATTCCCCAGAGCATTGCCTGAATATCTACCACCTAGTCGTAACATCAACTCGCAGAAATTTGAACAAAAGCAATGATATATTTAAATAATTCTGTAGAAATGAGAAATCATCTTTTTCATTTATTGATGACAACTGTTATACTAAAGCTGCAATATTACATATTTTTATACCTAAGATTATTTATAACTTCATTCAATTGTCTTACACATATTAAATTAATTGCTATTACTTTCATCTATTTTTGTATTAATTAAATTTTATCTCACTGTTTTGTAAATTGTAATGTTTATTTTTAATGATCTATTTTTAGGAATCAATTTTATCGTAATTTTGTTAATTTAATTTGAATTTATTATTACTCACTCATGTGCTTGTTGTCTATGTAATTTTTGTAATTTTTATCTTAATAATTTGTATATTTAATACCTTTTTACATGTATATTACATTGTTGTGCTTTGTTTGGTGAATGTTGTTGTTTGTTTCAGCTTATCTTTGTTAGTTTGACGCAATTTAGTACAATACTGCAATATCATATGTTATTGTTTGATAATGAACCAGAATAAAATGAAATGAAAAAAAAGTTACCACTAGATGGCCGGAAATAGCACTCTCAGACTTAAAATTTAAATATAATTTTTTTTTTCTCTCATTTGTTTTATTTTGAAAAATTTATGTGGCGGTGGTGGCTGTCCCCTTGATTCCTCCACTGACTGGTATGGTCATTGGAATCTCAAACTAATTTAATCATTTGATTTACATCCTATTATATAGGCCCGTTTATCATCTCTTATCTTGCCTTCAACTATTTTTCGAATACCGCTAAATACTTAATTAGGCTGTGTCTTAGTAATTAGCTGTCATCAATCCATTATTTGGTATTTTGATTATTTATATTTATATTCAAGGCTTATTCATCCAAGCATCAAAACTGTAAAAGGCAGCCAACGGCTGATTTGGTACAATTGTACAAAACATATTAATATTAATTACGGTACCGTATCGAAGCACTGTAAATAGGACAGTAATAATAATTTGGTTTTTCGTTGTTGAGACACAGGCTAACATTTATTTAAAAGTACAGTAGATTGCTACAGGGGTGGATAAGTAATGTAATTCATGTGATATGAACGCTGGTGGGAGATACAAAGCAAACACGTAAATCCAAACATGTGGTGTACGTAAGTGAATTGAACTATTCTCTTATTGCCATTAGGGACACGAGGTTGAGTGATTTTTTGGATTTACAGTATCAACATTTATTCTATGCGTATGCACTTATGCAGATAAAGAATTAGTGATCAATAGCACTTTATTTATTGTACTTCTAGGAGCATGCCCGCCTGGATATTCGCAAAAATTTGACAGCAATTGCTACAAATTTGTTTTGGACGAACCTAAAGATTGGTATAGCGCCCGCATGGATTGTAAGCGGCATAACTTTGGCGATCTTCTGACTTTTGACCAACCATTGGAGATCCAGTATTACAACTCAGCAGAAACGTTAGCTGCACCTCGGGCTTGGCCTATGGTATTTATCGGTAGGCAGCTACGGTGTTGGTGAAGGTCTCTGTCTCTTATACACATCTTTTATTGATGACAACTGTTATACTAAAGCTGCAATATTACATATTTTTATACCTAAGATTATTTATAACTTCATTCAATTGTCTTACACATATTAAATTAATTGCTATTACTTTCATCTATTTTTGTATTAATTAAATTTTATCTCACTGTTTTGTAAATTGTAATGTTTATTTTTAATGATCTATTTTTAGGAATCAATTTTATCGTAATTTTGTTAATTTAATTTGAATTTATTATTACTCACTCATGTGCTTGTTGTCTATGTAATTTTTGTAATTTTTATCTTAATAATTTGTATATTTAATACCTTTTTACATGTATATTAC